ACCTGTGGAGCATAACCACTGAGAACATTCAGCATCAGACTTTCTGCTTCTGCCTTCAGAAACATCGCTCTATCTGATACTGTATTCCTTGCAAACATCTCTGTCTTTTGCTCTTTCTATCCACAACATGGTTCCAGCTTGAAACCTGCTTCAATGCTACAACACTTGCTGCCCTTGGTCTCTCACATACATACCTTCCTTCTCTGCATCACATCATCCAGCTCTGTACCTTTGTCTTGAGTTGCTACCTTCAGTCCTACACTCTTGACTTCCCTCTTCTCCCTCTGTCTCCTGGCACGTTTATCTCCGGCTTCTCAGGATGGGAGACTGTGAAGAAGAGATGATTCAACACGATCTGCTGGCTTCTTTAGATTTATTTATTTATTTATTTATTTATTTATTTATTTATTTATTTATTTATTTTGTGTAGAGTGCCCTGAGACAATGTTTTTTGTGTCTTGGCGCCATATAAATAAACTGAATTKATKTGAATTGAATAAACTCCACACAGTCAAATAAAAGAAATGACCYTCTTAGTTCCTAACAGCCTGTGCTTATTTTACCCAGTTTAAAATGATAATACACACTTGTTTTCTTTATGTTGCCACAATGTAAGCAGCATGACAGCTTAGTGGTTAACACTGTTGACTCACATCAAGAAGGACCTGGGCCTGAACCTTGGTTTGGGCCTGGGGTCTTTCTGTGTGACGCTTGCATGTTCTCGTCTTTGCATGGGGTTTCTCTGGGTCCTCCAGTTTCCTCCCACAGTGCAAAAACATGCATTTTAGGTTCATGCTCAGGCCATTCTCTTACAGAGATCTCTGATATCAAGGGGATTTACCAGGTTAAAAAAAATTCATTTTGCATATACTTGAAGGGTTGCGTGTTGTAGTTWTGCTAATGTTAGTTGAAAATAGCTCTAATCTGCTTTTAAAAGAAGAACAAAAATCACCTGAATCTGGTTCAAAATGTGCAGCAGTTAAAGGCTCAATCTGTCCACTTTTGAGCCACCACTGTTTGTGACATTTGTGACTAACAGGGGCATGAATGAAGTACTTCCCTCACACACAGACAAAAGCCCTTATTCATGCGCAACATACTAAATTATGAGCCGAAATAGATTTTCCACCGGTAATACGTAATCTATGTTTCCCAATTGGCAGGGTTTAGAAACTGCAGCAGGGTTAACTTAAAAAAGTTAGCCTGTGGTGCTCCTCATCCTGTGATAATAGGCCTGTCAGTAATGAAGAACAGGCTTGTTGCCAACAGGTGGTCTCTTTATAAGACCAGAGCCAGAGCACTCAGGATGAGGGGGGAAAAAACTGCCACAGCAAAATGTGWCAGAATCTAATGTTCTGCAGAGTGAAAAGCCTGTTTTCCATCCTTTGTTCCCAGCCAGAGATTCAGCCTTGTTCCTCATTGTTCGGGGCACAAACGAGCAACAGTCTTTTTTGACACGGAGCCACAGATGAATAAAGACTGGAGCTGACTAGTCACAGGAAAGAGCTTTCTTTTTGGAGGGCTTGGAGCCCATTAAGAGTTTGTGAGATATGAATGGATATGAATCCTCTCCTTCGACCCCACAGAAAAAAGAAGACAAAAAAAAAAAGAAAGAAAAAACAACCGGACCCATACAAGACAAGGAACACCTCTGTGTCTTTTTACTGTGGTTCCCAAGTACATTTCAAGACATCAAGTCGAAGGAAGACTGATTGACAGGCAGGAATTACATAGAGTCAATACGAAGTGAGTGGCTCATTGTAGATTTAAAAGGATACACTAAACYCATCCAACCTCTGAGCTCTAACCACTGACACTAATGTCCATAGATTGACTTCATAAAAATGGCAATGTAAGAAGGGGTCAGCAAAACTGCATGGATGGCACTTTGTTGTGACGTAAACTACATTTTTGTGTGATCTACCACAGGAAATCTGCAGCATTGTCCCTAARCAGAACAGAGATGATGAGATATTTAGTAACAGGCCACTTCATGCAGTCAGGACGTTTGGCTCAGTGGGCAGATGATGGGTGGATCCCAGCGAAAGCCGCTCACCAAATACAAGCTTTTGTCCAACTCCATAACCCATTTGTTACACTCAGACCAATTTGTCCTCATTAACCCTCATGAGGGGACTGTGTCTGAGACAAAAGCTCTCAGGGAACAATGAGAATCCCCAACCCTCCCCATGTTCACATCAGCAGAGCTCAAGTGCTCCCCTTTCCAGCACATTGTGGCCCCTTGTTGCCCCCGGAGGGTTTCAGTCTATGAGCATGAGATGGACAGACCCCAACAAGCAGGGTACACCTGAAAGACGGGGGTGAAAAGAAATGTTCCCATTTCCGCCTCAAGAATGAAATATCTTTTAAAAAAACCCTCACAATGCAACATCCTCTGTTTTATTYGGGTCACTCCATCAATCAACTCTGAAATAAAAATCCTGACAGGATGTACAAAGAGCAGTGGCAAAGAAAAGGGAAGGGGAGTTACAGTAATTTTCAGAGACGTGAGAAAGTTTGCTGTAGTTTTCAGTTTGTCACACTTGCAGCAGCAATTGCTCTGACAATTTATTATCTGTTCGAAACAAAATATGACAAGCTTTCATCAAGTGATTTTAAAAGAACGTCCATGCCTGCGTTCATGTTTTAAGTTCATCAACCATTAACTGTTTTCTGAGTCCTTTTTTTGCTCAATGAACCTACTGAAAACAACTTTTCCCCCTTTTTATTTAAAGTGCACTGTTGCTTCCCTTTCTTTTAGACAACTCAGGCAGCCATAAACCCACCACAGATCACTTTGTTCAAGTAAAATTTTAAGTTCATTTGACTATTTTCTTACATATTTATTCCATATGCAATTCTCTAAGTTTATAAAAAAAACTACACTTAAGTTCATGATATTTTTCCTTATAATTGGTGCCTACTAATTAGTTCCATGTCTGTTTCAGGTTTTTAGTTCAATTCAATCCAATGTTACGGTATTTTCCTAAAATTACCATTAAATTGTGGAAATCCCAAAACAAAGAACACAAAAAAGKAAATTGACATTGGAACTGGAACAATAAAAACAACTCCACATTACTCATGCTTAGAAGAGTTACTCACCTAATTTTTTTTTTAATTTTAGTCTAAAGTGTTGAAGATTTATACAATGATGCTGCATAAACAAGTGGGAAGATTGAATTAATAAAAACAGTACATTATAAGTTCTACTAAAAAGACATTTCCCTTTAATACAGTTTTAATAAAACTAGAAGCAAAAACATTCCATTTTTAAAGATTCCTGAAATATTTGCGTGTTTTTTTTTGGCACGAGACATTTCCTAAGTTAAGAACACTAAAAACAAAAGATATCCATTTTAAAAATTTTACTTTATTTGCAATTTACAACTTTGCACACTTTAAAATCTGTTGAGCTTGCTTTATTTGTCTTCTGCTTTTTTGTCTTGTTGTGCATGCCWTGTCTATTTTGCACCATTTTTGTCTTTTTACAACTTTTTGTAACTTTTATGCTTTTTACATCTTTTTGTTTTTGTATTCTCAGTTTTTTCATTTTCTTTTTTTAACACATCTTTTGCATTTTGTCTCCTTAAGCTTGCTTTTACTTGTCTCCTAAGACATCATTTGTTTTGTTTTTTTATCTTTTATGATTTTGCTTCCTTATTATTTCATTTTGTCTTTCTGTCATCTTTTTCTTCTTTCTTTCATTCTTATCTTTTTATGCTTTTTGTTTTTTCATTAACTTTTTTGTTTATTATGCCTCTTATGCTTTCTTTGTGTTTCATAACGCATCTTTTTTGTCTCCTTGTGCTTTTTTCATCTCGTGCACTCTTTTAGTCTTGTCTTTTTTGTTTTAAGCACTTTTTGTCTTTTTGTCTCTGTAGCCTTCTTTTTAATTTTTTAAACTCTTCTCATGCAGCCTTTGTTTTTCTATTCATCTTTATTTTTTTTAAGTCTCATGTCCCTTCTTTTCTTTTTACGTCTTCTAATGCTTCTATTTAGCCATTTTGTCTTCTTTAGCTTTCTTTTTCTTTGGATATTTCTGTGCTTTTTCCATCTTTCTTTTTCTGTGTATGCCTGCTCCTTCTGTTTTTTATCCTTTAAATATTGAACATTAAATATCCAGCTATTCATCTTTTTCAGCACTTAAGTTTCACATGTCAGTTTTCTTGGGAAATGCACATTTCTAGTTTATTAATAATGCTTTATTATGAAAACAGAAGGCAGATGTTTTAAAGGCATGGTTATTTTAAAACATCCTGCTAATCATTACTCTACAATAAGATCTGACTGGTAAAGAGAGCTGAAAATTTAAAGAATTTAAATAATCTCTTCAGCACTGAAAACAGGCGATAAATATAAAACTCTCAAATATAAGATAGAAATAATCCAGCAGCCCTTCAGATTCACTCATAAAAGAGAAATATGTAATTATTCCTTCAGTCGCTCGCTCAGTTAAAACTCTATGCAAGAGCCTTTTATTATGTTCGTGTCACAGTGTCAAACGCAGCGGCGTCCCATTTAATGCTGGTTTGTTGGGTCTCCAGTATGTTTTCCAAACAGAGTTGCAGTAATCAGGTCATTTGTTATAATGACAACCATTAGGGGTGATCATCGTCACGCAGCAGTCGGGAGGAGAAATCAGGTGCTCTCTCAGAGATTCATCTCGATTACACACATGCACAATGTCAGACAAAAACACACGCACACACACACACTCACCTTTGCATCATTACCGAACATTAAATTACCAAAACTCCAAAATAAAACCATTCTATAACTCATTTACTCAGTTATTTTTAGTTGTGCTGTAGTTCATGTTTAAGACGAAAGGATTTATTGAATTAGCAACAATTTTGAACGTATTTCATTTAGACAAAACTGAAGCTTTTGGAATATCAAAGCARCATAATATTTCTAGTTTCTGTCATCAGCTATAACAATAAAAACCTTGCACTAATTACTGATAGTTTATAGACATGTGATTGAAAGAAAAATAATCAGATTAATCAAAAGTAATTTTAATCAGGTGACATTTATAATGGATCTAAATCATGAAGAAACTACAAGTTCGAGCAGGGGAAAAAATGTTTTTTTTACAGACCTAGTATTTTTGTACAAAACCATCCAGGGAAATACATCTTTGCTATTTTGAACATCATCATAAGAAGATTGCAGCCACATCTAAAGCTTCTGTGTTAAAACAAATTCAAAAGTTGGAAATATCTTGTGCTAAATATGTATTAAAACACATGTTCACTACATATACTTGTTTACAACATATTTCAATTGAAAAATATGGATCAAAACACAGTATCGATCTACACTTATTAGCGTAAGATATTTGTGGGAAACATTYAATCTTATTATTCAACCATGTGGCAGAAATAAATCCTGTTTGAGGACCTGGGACTTTTTTAATTTACTTTAAATCTTCTGAAATAAATTTACAAGGATTCTGAAAAGTAAAATAACAGAYGTAAGCTGCAACCTATTTGCCAACTAAATGTAATGTAAATGTAAACATGGCTATCATAGGTGTTAAACATTTTTATCTAAAGTGTACTTAGAATAGTCCTGTTTTCAGTGATGATACTGTGGGTGAATTGGCAGGTCTGAGAAAAGGCACATGTTAAATACATTTACTGTGTTTGGATCAGTGGTTTGTGTGTGAAAGTCTTTGCTTGTGCGTCAAAGTGAACAATCAGTCCTGTATCTGGGTCCAAACTCAGTCATCCTCTTCAGTAGAGCGGCTTTCACTGCACAGATCTTCTCATCCAGCTCTGTCAGACTGCAGGCCTGCAGGACCCCAACAAAAATACAACAAAAACCAATAAGCTCTTCACAAGAAGTTGACCTCCACTCCCACAGTAATGTGAAAAAAAGGTCCTAACCTGTGCAGTAGATGTTCTGGGTCTCTTGTGGAGATGACTCTGAAAAACAAGAAAAAAAATAAAACTCATAAATAATCAGTGCATTTTCTAAACTGGCTTGAGTTTAGTAAAGCACACGCTCAAAACTTCTACTAATCATTTTTATGGATTAATTCAATGGAACAAAAATGGGTAAATTTATATTAAAAAAAAGACTGGAAAAGAAAGAATCTGATTTATAAAGAAGGCTTTTAATAGAACTTTACTTTTGTAGGATGTTTTCACAATAGAGACAGTAAACAGGAGGAGAGCTGAGCGGCTTTAACCCAGCAAATGTCCCTGGTTAAACGTGAATAGAAGATGCCCTACGCGGCTTGAAGCAGAGCGTTTCAATTTGGTATATTCGATTCCAGCSGTAAAACCCTTTAGAATTGCTTATGGAGCCTCCTTTTTGCTCCTGAGTATTAGAATGTTGTTCCTAAAACCGTGGGCCAACTGTGTGCTGCTTTTCAGCAAACACCAAACTACAGTGAAGAAGGAAAAAAAAAATGAAGGAGGGGGGATGGAAGGGGGAGGGGACTTCCAATATAAAAGACCCMCATGTTCATCCGTTTATTCAAAGACACTCAACATCTCTTGCTCTGCTCACACAAACATGCACTGAGTCAAAAGCAGATGGAGAGCAGCACTCTTACAGAAGCAGCATGCTGTGCTGAGAAATACCAGTATAAASAGACATGCTGCATCTCGAGCACTTTTAGATAGCTAACACACTGGACAGACTCCTTTAGGTTAGGAAATTAAGAGTCTGTGGGACTTTGCTGATCTCTCACAGGTTCAATATGAAGCCTAATAAATTACCCCGAAACATTTTGAGTTTTTGCTTATTTAAACAGCAATTAGATGGTGTTTCCTATAACATTATTGTTTCAATAAATTTGAAAAATAAAAACAAAAAAYGTTTTCAATCAACTTGGGAGAAACTTAGGAAAGAAGTATGTTTATATATCAAAGTGTAGCTGTGGGAACTTCATGATCAGCAGAAACAAACTCGCAGGCAGTCAAGCTTATTTTCAATGATCTGTTCAACTAAAACAATTCAGTTTATCAGTTTAAAAATCACACAATAATAAAAGTCTTAAAAAGCTTCTCTTTAATATGAAGCTCTTCTAACCCTAACCTTTAATATGAAGCTCTTCTGTCTCAAAAAGTGTTCCTCATTCCAAAATGTTTTCATTTACTTTTCAAACTAAGATACATAAAATTGCTTCAAAATGAAAAGTCATGTGCAGTAATTATCCAGGTTTCTATTTCTGTGTTAAAGCAGAGAATTGTTTTCATGTTTRTAGTTTCTTTCTGTCACTACGTTTTTCAGACTTTACAAACTTTCAGCTATTTTCATCATTTGTAAAACACAACCCACAGCTTGTTCAGCACATTACAGCTATAATTTTTCGTTATCCTATCTTTTTCATGTTTTAAAAATATTTAGCTTTAATTATATTTTWTAAATATGTAAATAGAGAATTCTTAACCTCCTTGAAACATTTTGTGCTTTTCTGAAATCTTCTGTGTACTTCCTTCATAACTTTTAGCTAATGTTTAGCAAATGTGCAGCTAAATTYGGTTTTTGATAACTGTTCTGTTATTTTAATTTTTTGCAACAATTTAGCTACTTTTAACCTTTAGCTGTTCTTTAGGATTTGTCAACTTTTAGGAAATGTTTTGCACATTTTAACTTTAATGTTTTGTTCATTTTAGCTTCTAGCTACTGGTTTGATGGTTTTACTTTGTTTTCCTGGTTTTAGCATTAAACTTCTGTTTTGCTAATTTAAATTTTTGTTTAGCTGTTTTTAGCTTTTGTTCTGATTGTTTTAACTTTATAATTCAGTTTCAGCTTCTTCGACAACCTTTAACAAAGTCAATCAGCACTCGACATTCACACTGTATTTTCACCAAAAGAATAAATAAAATATAATAATCCAGTCTATGTTACATTAGACTTCAAACCATCCAATATAATGCAGTAAAAWACAGCTAAATTTCCCCACCTACATGATGTTTACATGTGAGATTAAATTGTGAAGCTACATGTGTTCTGAATTAAGCTTTTTTTGTAAGTTTTGGGTGAAAATCTGCAGAGTTAACTAACAAAATCAGACTGCAGACAAAAACAGAGTACCTTAAAGTAGCACATATAGTACAGCGGGTAAAATAAGTATTGAACACGTCAACATTTTTCTCAGTAAATATATTACTAGAGGTGCTAATGACATGAAATTTTCACCAGATGTTGGTAACAACCCAAGTGATCCAGACATACAAAGAAATCAAACATAAATGTCCAGAAATGAAGTTATTTGTAATAGTGTGGAATGGCACAGGGAAAAAGTATTGAACACACTTACTGAAATTTATCTAATACTTTGTACAAAAGCCTTTGTTGTCAATGACAGCTTCAAGACGCCTCCTGTATGGAGAAACTAGTGGCATGCATTGCTCAGGTGTGATTTTGGCCCATTCTTCCACACAAACAGTCTTCAAATCTTGAAGGTTTCGTGGACCTCTTCTATGAACTCTGATCTTTAGTTCTTTCCATAGATTTTCTGTTGGATTCAGGTCAGGTGATTGGCTGGGCCATTCCAGCAGCTTTAGTTTCTTTCTCTGAAACCAACTGAGAGTTTCCTTGGCTTTGTGTTTGGGCTCATTGTCTTGCTGAAATGTCCAGCCACGTTTCATCTTCATCATCCTGGTAGATGGAAGYAGATTTTTATCAAGAATGTCTCTGTACATTTTTCCACTCATCCTTCCTTCAATTATTTGAAGTTTGCCAGTACCATATGCTGAAAAACAGCCCCACACCATGATGTTCCCACCTCCAAACTTCACTGTTGGTATGGTGTTTTTGGGCTGATGTGCAGCGCCATTTGACCTCCAAACATGATGTGTATTCTGGCATCCAAACAGTTCAATGTTGGYCTCATCTGACCAGACTATATTCTCCCAGTATTTCACAGGCTTGTCTAAATGTTGTGCAGCAAACTTTAAAGGAGCTTCAACATGCTGTTTCTTCAGCAGTGGAGTCTTGCGTGGTGAGCGTGCATACAGGCCATGGTGGTTCAGTGCATTACTTATTGTTTTCTTTGAAACAAAYGTACCTGCTAATTCCAGGTCTTTCTGAAGCTCTCCACAAGTGGTCCTTGGCTCTTGGACAACTCTTCTGATAATTCTTTTCACTCCTCTGTCAGAAATCTTGCGAGGAGCACCTGGTCGTGGTCAGTTTATGGAGAAATGATGTTCTTTCCACTTCTGAATTATGGCCCCAACAGTGCTCACTGGAACCTTCAGAAGTTTAGACATTCTTCTGTAACCGATGCCATCATTATGCTTTGCAACWATAAGGTTGTGAAGGTCTTGAGAGAGCTCTTTACTTTTACCCATCATCAGATGGTTCTTGTGTGATACCTGGCCATCATTTGGGACTGAACCAGCTGATATTAACTTGCACTGACAAGGGGCAGGCTTGCTTTCTAATTACTGAGAGAGTTCAGCTGGTGTCTTGGCTTTCCATGCCTTTTTACACCTCCCTTTCTTCATGTATTTAATACTTTTTTCCTGTGCCATTCCACATTATTACAAATAACTTCATTTCTGGACATTTTTGATTTGATTTCTTTGTATGTATGGATCACTTGGGTTGTTACCGACATCTGGTGAAAATTTCATGTCATTAGCACCTCTAGTAATATATTTACTGAGAAAAATGGCGACGTGTTCAATACTTATTTTACCCACTGTATGTAGGAGGTGAAAGAAACACAGTGTAGCATTATGATGATTTGTTATAAGTGCAAATAAATTCAACAAAGCCAGATATTGGTTAATCTGTTGAAACTCCACTCAGACACAAGATGAAACATTACAAGCTGGGCTTATTGCATAAAGTAATACAGACATCCAGTCTCTGGAGTAAATGTTGTTTGGTTTAGCACATATACAGTATAGATTAAAGGAAGTTCTTTTAATGTTTTATGTAAAATATGTATATATCTGATTATTTCTTACATATAGGTTGTATTTGAACTGTCTTTCAGAGACAGAATTGTGTTGCCAGATTTAATGACTCTGTATACATGTCATTTTTCCCAGAATCTGACGTACAAAAGATGTTGTCAGAAACTATGCTTGTATGAAACTATATTATTAACTATACATTTAGTGTCCAGTGAATAGTGTTTAAATTCTAAAAGACTGTTTTAATAATGTGGGAAGTAATTAAAAATGTCCTTCACGTATTCATTGTTCCAGCCACAGAACTCACTGCAGACTGAAAGTACTCGGGTGAGAGTCCCTCTAGCTCCAGGATACGATCCTCCAGCCTCTTGAGTCTCTGATAAACGTTTAAAGGGACGGGTCCCACTGAGGAATAAAAAACTACTTTAACAACTTACATAAATGAACTGTCGATGATAACTTTAGTTAACTGTAAAATGTAGTTAGGAATAGCATAAAAAGGAAAAACGATCACAATACTATAAACAAAGTCTATTCAAACATTTCACATTCCAACTGCTTTACTTTTTAATGAAGGATAAATTGGTGCAGTCAACCAACTTTTTCTTTTTTTTTCTCTTTTAAGAAACAATTATTGTCATCTACAACTGATGACACAACATTTTAAACATTGGTATAATTAGACTTTCTTCCCTCACCAGACGGCAGTTTTAGGTGGGTCTCAATGTTCTGAAGTCGCTCCTCTATGGCTGCATTTCCACAATCTCTTGCAGTCGACGCCCTCTGGTGCTCCCCTGCTTCTCCCTGGCATCCCCCACTACGAGTCTGGGGCCCATAAGCGTTAACTACACGTGTGACTGCTCAGCCAAGAAACATAAAAAAGGAAAAAACACATAAAACATATTGATTTTAAAAATATATACATTTCTACAGAAAGTCATATGAAATATTAAACAGTTAATTTCCATGCAGCTAGTGATTCTTATGGCATGTCCCAAATTAAACAAAAACATTTGTATTTTTAAAATATTCAACATTTCTGAAAAAAGGTCAAGCTTTAATAATGATAGCAACAGAATGGCCCATCTTCCTACCTTTTACGTGGCTTTTAAAGCCTGGGTAGGGAGTGAACACAGCGTCTGTTCTGGCACAGCTGTTTTCTGTAAAGAATCAATTTCCATAAAAATTAGAATTTGTAAACGCAAATAAATGTCACTTAGAGAAAAGAAAAATAGGTTCTAAATGTATACACCACATGTGTTGCATTTTCTCCTGATTTCTAATACTGCTGTCTCATACAAGCTTTGAATTTCAAAAAGGTTCTCTGTCTCATGTTTTTCTGGACAGAGAGCGTTGCGTTTTGAGGCCGAGTGTGTTAGCTACTTCAGTCCCACTCTTGCAGCAGTTCAGCCTGACCTCTCGCCTGTGGAAATCAGCTCTCTCCCAAACATTGGCAATCTGCGTGCAGGCTCCCTCTCCTCCACCCCACCCCCACCCCCCCACTCTTTTCCATTCTCACCCTGATTGCAGTCGATCACGTTGCAAAACTCGCGCACGTTGTTTTCATTGATCTCCATCTGCTTGCGTTCCATAAATGCAGATATTCTTCGCTCAATCTGGAGTTAAAGAAAAAGGCAACACCAATATTAAGGTACAATAGATTGATGAGCTACTGATGAGTGTTAAGAATGCAATGTTTTTTCCTATTTATTTTTAGTGATCTGGAGCAGACAGAGTGCAGAGGTTTATGCGGCGTTAATAAAAGAAAAGCAGTGTAAAAAAATGATTCCAGGTAGCCCAAAAAGTTAAATTGCTTACCGTCCTCACATGATGGAATATGAATATGGTTTGCCTGGCTACCAAAATAAATGCACAACAGAATGGGGCCTCTTGTCCTTCATCCACATGCAATCTCAGAGTAATGAGCATCCACTTCATAATCCATCAAGGACCTGGCCCTCTCTCAAAACCCTCCAGCAATGTGGTCTGCTTTACCCCACCGCAGCACTACAAGACCCCTTACTCTTTGCTGAACACAGTATCAGGTCTCCATCAAGCATTTGCTACATGTCATGTGCACATCCTTGGAAGCAATTACTTATGATTATTCATTTGCCTGACAGAGTGTGAAGGGTTTTAAAATGTCACTGCCAGAACAGCTGACAGATCTGTCGACAAAGACCAACCTCTGACTTCCCAGCTCGAATCTGAACCATGATGTCATCATCCGAAGTCTTACTCTCTGCAGCCCCTGAGTTGTGATCTTGGTGCTCAGACAACACAGCTGTCAGCTCTTTTACTGAAGATGATGAGACACCTTTATCCAGTGTGTTTTCTTTCACTGATGTAACACCATCAGCCCCTACCAGTGATCTCAGGCTTTTGGAAACAGCCTGTGGTAAAACAGGAAGAACACTGATTGCACACAAGCACAGTCCATGTGTGTCTATATTTGAGGTTTTTTTAATTAATGAAAAAAGTATGCTATGATAAAGACAATTAATAACAATAATCATGTAATAGTCATCAAGTTAAACCTTTTGCTGTGCAAACCCTTTAAATTTACAAAGTTGAATGATACAATTTACCATTAATCAGCATTAATGGGAATTTGCATTCCTTTTACCTGTAATTTAACAATATGCTCCTGCAAACATCCATAAACATGAGCCTCTGAAAATGATGAAAGATCCACAGCACTGGGGTTGACTTCTATTTTCAAAGCAGCCTCTCCTAATCGGAGCTTTATTTCAAAACAAATGACAAAGATAGGAATTAAAAAGTGCAAAACACAAGAACAAATTATTAATTTATTGAACAAACGTAATTTGTAGATTAGTAAATAGATTGAAAAACTGCAAATCGTTATAATGTTTCAACTTTTGTTTGTCATTTAAAAATGCTAATTATTTGTCTATGAAACTAAAATAAAAAAATGCAAATTACAGCCAGTTACCAGCTTTAGTAAAGGATAAATAGCAAATATTGTATATCAGTTTGTATCAATCAAAAAAGGAATTCACAAAAAAATTGTCAGAATGTAGAAGATCGCAAATTTATGGCATGCAAATATTTTTGTATTTATAGATCAAAATCTTCAATTCTGAACAACAAAAAAAAAAACTTTTAAATAAAGAGTACAACTTCAGCTATTTTATTGTTATTTTTTTATACTAAAACATAGTAGAACTGAAATTAGACCATTCAGAAAAATTCAGGCACTACCAAAATCGGTGATTATGCGACAATTACGCCAAAAAGCTTTGATATCATTCTATTATTTTTTTAATGTTGAACACGGATTACAGAAAAATAACGAGCCATATTCTTGTGTACATTTTAATGTATCGTACTTCACATGATTATACAGAATGATGGCGATGTGTGGGACAGCGGGTCTGAGCACAAGCCTAAAAGTAATTATTAAAACTGAATAATATAAACAAACAAAAACAGTCACGGTAACCTGCTGAACAAAATAATGGAGCTATCAGAGAAAATCTACGACGCTAGCATGCTAATAGTATGAGATGCTAAAAACATTAGCATGTAGCTAACCAACAACTCGAACTGAAAAAGAAAGATCTAAAGAGAAGCATATTTCAAACCAACCTCTTTTCCAAAGCCTGAAAGCAGCCTCAGTATCTCATCCATGCAGTGCCTGTAACTGGACATTTTTGTTGGTTCACTGGGAGGAGCTTCGTTTTGATTTAGCTTCGTTGTTTCCGCCATTGCTACTGAAAGCTCGAAAGTACTGTATGCTGATTGGTTGGAAAACTTCACATGTGAACCTATGGAACCAGCGACTGGCTGCTCCACGCATGCGCACTTACAGCCGGGGTGGTTCTCTGCTCAAAGCGTTTCAATGAACTATGCAATTTCCTTTAAATCAAACTGACAAATAAATAAATAAATAAGGAGGTATTGTTGCTGTATTTGATCTGGTTTTCATTTCTCTATCACGCACACAAATTAGGGAATTAGACAAATTGTATTTGTTTGCTAAAGCATTGCTTTTGTAACACTTTTCTGGAAAGTAAAAGCTGGTATTTCCCTATTAATAAATATAAACAAAAATTACTTTATAAATATCTTCTTTAAATAAACGTGAAGAAGATGAAATTTAAAACAAACAGACAATGTTAGTGGGATAAACAGTTTAATTTTTGAAACGATCACATGATTTGTGTGTAGCTCTTATTTTCCTCTGGACTGCATTGAAGATGCTTATATGATTATGCTTTTTTAACTCTATAATTTTTTATCAACTTAAATCAATTTGCTAAAATCTACTCTGTTAATCAATTGAAAGAAATATAGTGCAAGCAATGTCATATTTTGAAGTTGTGGCAGAAAATATGTCACTTAGTGAAATAAATAAATATTGTTCCAAACCAAAACAAGCAGAATTCTGAGCTTACATCTACAGTGATATAAATTGTGTTTCTTGTTGATGAAACAGACTAAACATTGTCAAGCTGCATTTAATTACTTTCTTCAACAGGAGAAAGAATAGTGGCTTAATTCTTAGAACATTGTGCCTCTGACTACGGTGGACCAAGCAGCAGGGCACTGAGATGGGAACCTGGCCACAATAGTGCATTTCTCTGAGTTGAGTGACTGTGGGAAAATCTCCCTCCCCTATTCAGACATTTTTACCTTCTTTTCACATAATGAAGAGAGAAAGAGAGAGGGAGACAGAGAGAAAGAGAAAGCTAGAGGAAACAACAGAAAAAGAATAATTACAGGCAAAGAGACGGCACTGCTATGCACTCAAAACTCAATAATGCTCTTTAGAAGGGTTAATCATTTTAGGAAGGGGTCTAAAGACAAGCCTTTTTAGCTTAATTCATTTGTGAGCTGATATTTTCCTCCCTGAAACAGGAAGAAAACTGTAACACTTGACATGGTTTGACATGCTGTGCCGTTGCTAAATGTTCCCACACAGCAAGGAGCTCTGAAGAAAAAAGTAATAAAAACTAAAACTGCTTATTTCATTTGCTTGAGTGTACAACTAAAGGCTGCAATTTTTTAACCCTTAATGAGCATTAGTTCATTAAGGTGCTTATATAGGCGTTGGACAAAACTTGGTTATATTTAACATTTGAAACTAAATTACAGACATAGACTCTGGTTCTCAATTGATTTGTTACTATTCTGTTAGAACTAAAAGTGGCTAATATGAGATGTATCGAATAAAGACAATAATACTAATTTCAAAGTTTAATCCTCAAAAACTCATTTTGTAGTAACAATGTGCCAATAAACAGGCATACTGATAGAAATATACAGTAAATTAGTTCACTTAGTTTGCACATCAACAGCCTTAAACATGAACCTCTAGGTACGGTTAACAATTTTATTTCTATTGCTGATCAAAGTACACTCACAGCAAACCTAAGTACAAGAAGGTAAACAATGAAATCTAAATAAAGAAAAAACATAAATAATACAAGTTTAAATTCCAGAGTTATATGTTTTCCAAAACATGAGCTAAACATGTTAAAGCAGAGTGGAGCAATTTTCAGTGATTTTTAAATTTAAATGAAAGTTCAGATAAATTCATCAATGTAAATACTGTCGATTAATGGCTGTAACACAGAAAATGCTGATTTTCTGAAGGGAAATAAAGTTATATAATACACATTCTAGACTGAACATAGAACGAGCTCAGAGGTAGAATCCATCCATCCATCCATCCATCCATCCATCCATCCATCCATCCATCCATCCATCCATCCATCCATCCATCCATCCATC